TTGATCCAAACGTGTGGAAAATGATGCAGACCTCAAACACCCGTGACCACCTTTAGACGTGGCAGGATCATAACTTCATAATTACGGTTCATTATTACTCAAAAGTTGAGAGAACATTAATGTTGGCTGCCTCTCCCTTCGTAATTACACTTATATCTGACGATGAATTTATTACCATCTTAAAAAATATTTTGATTTTGTTTGAATTTTTTAGTTTGGTATGATTAATTGTAAAAAAAAGTGGTATGATTAATTGTTATTGAAATTTTGAGTTTATATTAAATAATATTTAAAATCAAATAATTAAAGTTGATTTGATATAAAAGTGAGAGTGAGATTGTGTGAAATTATGGTTAGTTAAAATTACCTAAATTGATACTGGATATATAGTGTATTAAAGTTGATTAATGTGTAAGAATGATTGATTGACATTATTTAATTATATTGATAATATTGATGATAGTGGAGTTGAGTCAAATTTGAGTTTAAAGTATTGATTGATTAAAAATAATTAGATTCTTGTAGATCAATTTGTATCCAGTAAGCATCCCAAATTATTTGAAGTCCAACTAGTTCACTTTCAATGTAGTAGCTAACAAAGACAAATTTTACCTTTTTTGTGACATATTATAATGGTGTCCGAAAGTTGAGAGAACTTTCGAATAACGGTGATAATCGGAGGTTATTAGGCAGTTAACTTTTTGGAGGACTAATATTTAATTAATGGTGTAATAAATAATAATGGTGGATGCCTTTTTGGAAACACCATCTTAGCATGTTCAATTATGCGAAGACAAATCACNTTTTTTTTTTTTTTTTGGGCATTTTATCCAAACCTGCGGAAAATGAAGCAGATCTGAGATCTCAAACACCCGTGACCACCTTTAGACGTGGTAGGATCATAATTACAGTTCATTTATTACTCAAAAGTTCAGAGAACTGTATGCATTAATGATTATTGACCACCATTAAACACAATGCAGGATTTTTTAATTTTATTTTTTTATAATGTACTTAGATCTGATCTTGAATTTATTACAGTCCAAAAGCATTTAATGTTAGCTCTGCCTCTCCCTTCATCTTCATGGTATATAAAAGCCCAACACTCCCAAATGTACACTTCACATCATCACGAAAAGAAAAAGTAACTAAAATCCTAGCTAACAAATCACGATGAAGTCGATAATCCTCAGCCATATGCGTTCTTCTAGCATGCCTTCGAGACCTTATTACCCTATAATCCCCGAATTCAAACTCCATTTGCAAAAAATGAAATCCGATCATTTCCCCACCTCTTCTTCTTCATCTCTATCCTCAATCGCCGAAAAAATGAACAATCTCGAACAAATACACGATTTTATTGACAACTTACTTATTCTCCCACATACCCACCAAATTTTCACCCGAGAAAGGCACGAAAAATGGGTCGAACAAATCTTGGACGGATATCTGGGCCTAGTGGACGCTTGTGCCACCGCTAAAGATTTCATCACCCAATCGAAAGAACACATTTCAAACCTCCTTTCAGTCCTCAGACGAAAGCGCGGCTCGGAAGATCTTTCCGAGTTCATCTCCTCAAGAAAGATGATCAAGAAGCAAATACAAAAATCGTTGAGAAAAATCGGGAGCTATAAAAAGAACTCCTCTGGTTTAAAAACAGGGGAGAAAGATCAAGAAACAATTGCAATCATCGGTATGTTGAAGGAGGCCGAGTCGGTTACTTTAGAATTGATCGAGGCACTGTTGTCGAGCATTTCTCGTTCGAAAGACGGTTCGAAGCTAAGTAAATGGTCTCTAGTTTCGAACATTATGGGATCGAGAAAAGTTTCGTGCCACGAGCACGAGCACAAGAGCTCGATGCTCGAGTTTGGAGATTTGGATGCTTTGTCGAGTAAATTTGTTAGTAAATGCGAGACGGGCTCGAAAATCGAGGATTTGCAGCGACAGTTGAGGAAGATGGAGTTGGTTATTACAGTTATTGAAGAAAGATTGGAGTGTTTGTTCAAACGTTTGATTAAGTCGAGAGTTTCACTTCTTAACATGCAGAGCCAGCTGTAGTCAATGGCTGATGGTCAACAGGAGATACTTTTTGTCACGGTAGATATCTTTTTTTTTTTTTCTTTAGTCTCGGAAGAAATAGTTTTGCAGTTTGGGTCTCACAAGATTTCTTTTCCCACTTTTGGTCTAATCAGAAGTTGTTGTATTTTCACACTTTTGGGGGGTGAAATGGGATTTGGTTCTTGTGGGAAGTTTTTTTCTGCTCAAATTTCTGGTTTTGAGATTGAAGTTTGTAGATATATGTACGACAATTTGAAGTGTACTGTAGATAAAATGTAAAATATTCTTTGTCCCGTTTTTTGTGATTCAATTTTTTTTGCAAGTATAATTTTTGCATTTCGTATGGATTTTTTTATTTTAGATGGTGAAACGAGTATAAATAACATAAAAAATATATTAAATTGGATAACTCTTTCCTTTAGCATGTCTTTGTTAAAACCATACCCTCTTATCTCTCAATTCAACCAACATTTGCAAAGTTTAAAGTTTAAACACACTAATATTGACCATTCCTCTTCAATTTCCTTAATTACCATCGATCACCAAAAATCTACGCAATCTGGTAGAACTATTCGACTATGTCGACAATTTACTCCTTTCGCCACATACCTATCTAGTTTTTTCCCCAAAAAGCCAGGAAAAATAGTTCGGCGAAATCTCGGAGGGATATCTCGAGCTAGTGAACATTTGTGCCACGACGAAAGATTTCATCGCGCATTCAAAAGAAAGCATTCTAAACATTCTTTCCATCCTCCGACAAAAACAAGCCCCGGACGAACTTTCCGAGCTCATCTCCTCATGAAAAATCGGAAAAAAGAATATAAGAAAGTCGTTGAGAAATATTCGTGCTTTGAAGAAAAAATTCTCGGGTTTATTGACGAGCAATTATGATAAAGAAACCATTGCCATTGTTCGAATGTTGAAGGAAGTCAAGCTGATGAAGATTGATTTGATGGAGGATTTGTCGTTAAGTATTTTGGGGACGAATAAGGGTCATTGGAGGCTAAAGAGTTGGTTTTTCTTAGTCACGAAAAGAGTTTCGTGCCGACATCACAAAAATGCACGGAATTATTCGGATTTGGAGATTTGGATTCGGCATTGCGTAAATTTGTTCATCCGAGGACGTCGAAGTCATGTGAAACAGGCTTGCGAGTTGACGAGCATCAAATGCAGTCGAGAGATATCAATGTAATTAATCATTCGAGTTGTTGAAGAAAGATTAGAGTGTTTGTTTAAGTGTTTGGTTCAATCAAGAGTTTGTTTACTCAACATGAATAGCCAGTTGTAGTAATTATTGGATGATGGTTTGTACAGATTTTTCTTTTATTAAGTTTAGTCACATAAGCTAGAGATTTTTGCCATTTTTTATTTTTATGTGAACTTTAATCTCATAAGATTTTTTGTAATTTGCGCTTCACAAAGCCATTTTTTCTGGTCATTTTTTGTCTCACCATTTTTTTTTTCGGGGACTAAAAGTGCTATAACTATGTGAGGTTTGTAGTGCTAAATTTTTCGAGCTTATGTTCTCCATCTGATATTTTGATAATGGGGAAAATTTCTGTAGTTACTTGTGATCAGGTCTATGTTCAGCAATGAAGAAAAATGAATTAAATTTGTCTTATAATTTTAACTTGGTTCCACTATTGTTATTTACTGTTTTAAGTTCTACATTCATTACATTTTTTTTGTTTTTTTCCACTAGTAAAGTGCACGTGGTGGCGAATGATTTTTTTCGATTAAGTTTAGTAAGATGAATTATTAAGCATGTGATTGCATTGCAAGAACAAAATAAAATGTAGAACAAGTAAACTCCTAATGTATTTTTTTATTTTAAAATAACATAATGATGTCGTGACATAAAAAGATTTATATATATTACAATCCCAACAAAAAAATATGAAAAATGAGTTCCGAAAAAAATAAAAAATAAATAATTAAAGAATGATCTAATGTATATTATAATTGCATGAGTTCTTTTATTTATTTATGTTAGATTCAAGAGTGATTTTCTTTCATTTTAGTTTTAACATTCTCATAAGAAACATTCATACTCTCGTTGGAGCTTAACACATCAATAGCATTACAAAATTTATCTTAATTAATTTAGCAAAACGTCTGTTTTATTCAACACTTAGAATTATTTTAGCCAAACATATAGTCAAACTTCATGATTGTATGATTATTATAAGGTACTTCTAGTAATTGTTCATAAATACTCTGTGAAATAACCATCTATATCATTAAAACTAGTATAGAGCCCGTGCGATGCACGGGGTGCACAATTTTAATGCTATTTATCCAGACTTATAATTATATACATGAATAAAGAAAAATGTACGGGATATATATAGTACGTGACCCGTGCGAAGCACGAGATATATTTATTTGGAGAATATTATATTATAAGATGCAATATTCAATAAAAATTTATAATACGCAAGAAAATTGTACAATGTTCAAAAAGTTTTAAAATATTCAAGTGGAGTCTTAAAGTCTCTTGTACATTAAGACTACTGACAAAATAATATTTTAATCAATGAGTTTCTTTTCCTTGTAGCCAAATTGTGAATGTGATTTGAGCAGTACAACAAATCGATATATAGCTGACTTGCTTTTTTCATTGTAGTTTTTTTTTTTCTTTTTCTTTTTTATAATGAATTTAAAGATATTCTAAAATATAGCAAAAATTAATTTTTTTTTATTACAATTAGGAATTTTACTAAATATAGACTCTCAATCTATGGTGTTAATCAACGTTTAAATCTAAAAAATTAGAAATTTTTACCTTTTAATCAACGTTTAAGTTTAAAAAACAATAGAGTTATTATAAGTTTTTTCTACATCTTTTAAAACATTAAATATGAGCATGTTAGGGCTAGCTTGTAAAATAATTAATATATTATCTCACTAAAATATTTATACTAATAAAAATTTAATTTTAGCATATAAATTTATCTCTTGATATAAGATAAAGTAACAGTTTTACTTATTGTTGTTAACCATATAATATTTAATTATTATTTTATTATATAATAAAAAAGAAATATTATTAAATAGTGTAGTAGAATTGTTATAAAATTATATGATTTTTTTTTTACAATATGAATTTAATATTTTTTTATGATTTGATAATACAAACAAATCTATACTTAACTTTGACAAATAAAACAAATAAATACTTTAGTAAGTATTCAATGTATATACTAAATAGGAATATATTTGGTATAATCAAATACCAAATATAATCAAATAAGTCAAAGTGTACATTTTTATTTGGTATTTGATTTTTTTATTATTAAAATC